AGAACTTCTGCCTCAGAGCTCATCTCAGTCTCCCCTCTGGCAGGTTAAAGCCATTCCCCTTGGCCTGTCCCTACAGACCCTTGTCCAAAGCCCCTCTCCAGGTTTCCTGAGGCCTTTTTGGCGCTGGAGCTGCTCTAAGGTGTCCCCCTCAGGAGCCTTCTCTTCTCCAGCTGACCCAGCCCAGCTCTCTCAGCCTGGCTCCAGAGCAGAGCTGCTCCAGCCCTCACAGCAGCTCCCAGAATGAATTAAATTTTGACTTACTCTAACAAGGGCAGAGGTGGGGCCCACAGGGATGGTCTGTCCTTACCTTTGATGAAAGCAGGCAGCTGGGTTGAGGTGGCATCAAACAGCAGAGAGGTGCCTGCAGCAGATAAGCTGAACCTTAGTAGCAGTGGCTGGGGGGGGCTGGGTCACGGGGCGTCAGCAGCCACCCTGACCTGCCATGTGCTCTGGCAGGTTACTGCGGTCGGAGCTGCTGGACACGCGGTATGGATCACTCTATATGCCTAGCACTGGTGCCCTCATGCTCCTCACTGCACTCCACACCTGCGACCAGGTATGGGGACACGGGGACACCTTCCCCCCTCACCGTGGCTGTGGGGGGATTTAAGAGCTGCTGTATGCTCATGGTAGGGACGAGCATGTCCACCCCATGTCCCTGGAAAGGGCGGTGACTCATGGACCACCCAAAGTGGAGCCCTGACCCAGTTCTGTCTCTCCCACCTCCCTTCCCACAGGTCAGTGCCTACGGGTTCATCACCACCAACTACGAGCAGTTCTCAGACCACTACTACGAGGTGGAGAAGAAGCCGCTGGTGTTTTATGCCAACCATGACATGATGCTGGAAGCAGCGCTGTGGAGGAGTCTGCACCGAGCAGGGATCATGACCCTGTACCAGCGGTGAGGCAGGGCGGCTGCCCACGGGGGCAAGTTCAAGGACTCCTGTGGCTTTTCTCCTCTTCCCTGAAGGCCACGTTCTCCCTCCAGAGGGCTCTGCCAAGCCATCCCAAGGAGCAGACCTGTCACACCACAGCCAGCAGTGGTACCATGGTAAGGGGCAAGCTGAAGCTGACCAAGAAACGTCGTTTCTTCAGGGATCTCCAACAACGTTTCATGGCTCAGTGTGATTGACTATGGCCTTTGAGGCACCAAGAAACATCAGGGCACATGCTTATGACCTTCCAGCCCCATGAATGCAGCTGTGGGGCAGCACTGTCCCGTGAGGTACAGGGTGATGCTGGAAGATGCTGGAGGTGTGTACCTGTGGCTGGAAAACACCCTTCACCATCATGCTCCAGCTCAAATGCTCACCACCGTGGTGGGATCACAACAGGTGTGATGGATCCTTGGGAGTGGCGACTGGATCATCTCAGCACCCCGAAGGTGGTGTGTTTGGAGAACACCTCCCTCCAGGCTGCAGAAAACCCCATCTCCAGCCACCTCTGGGTTGAAGTGTGCTGCTGTCCAAAAGGATCCATTTGCCTCCATGATCAGCGGGAGGACAGTGGCTTGGCTGCCCTCTCCTGCGACAGACGCAGTGTGCCCTGTCACTTTCCTCTTCTCCAGGTCATGGTGTTTTCAAGAAAGGCTTAAAAGCCATTGGCTGTGAGTAGTTACTGCAGCTCAGCTGGGACATCACCAGTGCGGCTGGACTTTGAGCATCCTGGAGCTGAGAGCGGATCTGCAGCCCGTGTGTGCAGGGGAGTGGGTTTGGTGAGGTTTCCTTCCATGGGGACCGTGCACTGCCCTCCAAGTGAGGAGGCAGCCCCGTGCCAGGTGGGTGATGGACCCTGAGTTATTACTCCTCCCCAGAAGCCCGAGGGGATGATGGTTTTGCTCCCATCAGCCATCCCATGTAAGCCAGTGCTAAGGAAGACCCTCTGGGGAGGCTGCTCCAGCCAGAGTGTTGATGGGGCAGTGCAGAGGGAGTGGTGTGGCCAGAGACACCTTCCCACTCTGTAATTACATCAATGCTGAATGACTGTTCTCTTTTATGCCCGTTTCTGTTGTTTCCATGAGAGGGTGACGACTCTACCTCCCACAGCAGACAGGCTGTAGCATCTAGTAGAGCGAGCCTTTGGCTGGGGAACATCCAAAGCAATGGAGCCATTCCCCATCCAGGGTTAATCCCTGGAGCCCTGTGTGGATTGCTGTGTTAGATCTATGGGAGCAGCTCGGATCACAGCCTTTTTCCACTTGAGATGCTCTGTGCTGTGCATCAGCTGAAGGGAACAATTCACTGCAGACATGGCAAGAGATATGCAGGCTGAAAGCCAGGGAACCTCAAACCCCCTCATGCTCACAGCAGGCTGCTTTCAGCCAGTTCAAAGGAGCAGTACGGAAGGTTGGTCTCAGATTCAGATGTAATCTCTTGAGCTTGGAACCCATCTTGTGTTCCCAGATCTCAAATTAACCTTTGTTTGCATCAGAGCCACCTCACAATGGTACCAAGGCAGCCTGTTAGGCCTGTTTCTTATTCACAAGCACTCAGCAAAACCTCTTGCATGACAAGAACAAACCTGTTCCTCACATTACCTGACCAGGACAGCACCAAAACCTCCTCAAACCAGCTCTGGCCAAGCCTCAGCCCAGCCCAGGCAGGTGACTTGGACAATGGCAGCACCTTGAAGCATGGGGAAAAAAGAACCGGTTATACAAATGAGCACTGTCCTGGGGCAGATTCCTGCCAGGAATCCCATATCCAGCTCACAGGCAGAGCTGTTTGTGCACATCAGGAACTACACCTCCTTTCTCATTTCCAAAAGGGGTTTCAAAGCTGTGTACCCTGTCCCAGAGTTGAACACACTCCATTTGACCAGACAAGGAACCTGATGGCTCTACTACTGTCTCTCCCCTCTTCTCCCCTTGTCTTCAATCTTCCAAGCAGAACACAAGAGCCATTTCTGTCACCAGTCCTGGCTTAGCTGCAAGTCATTTTGTCACACTGCTTTTCCTGTTTCCTAGCAGTTCCTGCTATCATGAACTGCTTTTCCAGTGTCCGTAGACACTGAAGTCTTGAGATATGGGGGAGGAGCAGGTTTTGCTGTAAGGGTAAGCTCACAACTGCTTGCATTTCTGAAAGGGTTTTAACCCCAAATCCTTTCTCCCTGCTCAAACCCCTTTCTGTTTAAGTAGATAACCTTGACAAAAATAACCAAGCCAACTTCAAGATTTTCCATAACTTGTTTTATTCCGGAACAGCAGATGGCAGGGAACCACTTCTTCCTCCTGCCAGCTGCAGATCAAGTCCTAGGCAAGAAAAGACAGTGTCAGAGCAAAGCAACTGTTAGCTGAAGAGCTCCTGATCTGCACTATTTAATCAAGTGTTCAGGGCTCAGGAGACAAAAATTGCTCCCCCCACAGTCAATGGTATTAGCACCCAAATCCTCTTTGGCTTTACTGGGAACTTACCCACAATGGGGCTGCAGTGAGGAGAAGCCTGCAGTTACACACTGATGGCTATTTCACACCATTTCTAATGATGTATCAGTGTCCATTTGTGAGACCTGCTCCAGAAACATCTTCCTTCTGCTGCTTCTAGAGCTGGGAGACACCACAAAGCAATGCTGTAACTGCTTTCCTAGAAATACTTTGTTCTGAAACCATCCTTGTTCTCAAGAGCACTTTTCCCCGCCCTTCTTCCTTGGAAGCCAAAAGCCCCACATGCTCTTTCCAGTGAATGGTACCACCCAAACACAGCTGTATTGACAGAGCAACCACTGTGACTGCTGGTTTGTAGCACCATTCCCTCATGTCCTGCACACCAACCTTGGTTTGTTAAGGAAGTCCACTGCTACCTTTGTTGTCTCAGCATGTCAGGAAATGTTACCAATCTTCTGCAAACAAATATAAACTCTTGTTAAATAAAGCATGAAAATCTTAAGCAGAATGGAGCTGTCAGCTACCTGCAGACAACGTGCTGTTACAGCCTGGGTGTTCTGTGACTGTACATCAGGTGAGAGAAAGCCACATTTCTTACCTGCCCTTCAACTTGCTGCTGTGCCTCCCTGTTTGGAGAAGCAGCTTAAAAGCTCTTCATAGATCTAAACTGTGCGGTAGCAACAGTAGCCGGTTACCCCCTGTCCTGAGCTTTGCTGTAGCAGAGAGCTGGCTGCTGAGCAGCCTGTGTGTCTGGGACAGTGCTTGTGCATCACCAGGGCAGGAGGAGAGGGGAGAGATGCTGCTTTTGCCCTACTGTTGCTGCCCCCGTCACTGGGAGTCTTCGCAAGACCTGTTACGGGGACATAAGCCTCAGTGGACAGTTGTATCCCTCAGAACCGAGATGTCAGATAGGGATAACAGCACATCACAGGCTTGGTTTCTCTCCTTCCCTTGGCTGTATGAACTAAAGTTCTACACAATTCCATACAAAGACACCCAAATGCTGCCCCAGTGTTCTTCCTGATGATTAGTATTTTTCCTGGTAAGCATTCAAAGACAAGGTTGGCTGCTCAGCAATGACTTGTGCTGCTTACACATAGATCAAAACCCAGCAGCATGCGATACTGAAGCATTCACTTACCAGCTTGAAGCCTGACTCGCCCTCTTGCCAAAGCTGTCTTTGGGCAGCAGTACAGTCCCAGGCCTCTGCAGGAAGATTTCCTCCTAAATACAAGTTGTATTGAACACTGTTAGCAACAGCACTTCACAAAGAGTCACAGGGCAAGAATTAAAAACAGGAAGGTTTCCACTCAGAGGCGAGTTCTGTCTCTCAAACTCAGCACAGCAGAAACCTGCCCCTCAGAGACAAAGGAAGATGTTTGCCAGTGGGTTGTGTCACTCAGACGAGAAACTTTGGAACGTGGATGCTATGTACATCCTTGCTTATTAATAAAACCCATGCTAGCCCTGAGACTTCGATGGTTTAGATCTTTTTTAGCCACTTCAAGCAGGCACCGTCCTCACCATCATACAGAAACATCTTAATCCAACTTCTTCCTTGCACGCAAGAATAATCCACTCCTTCTGGATGTCAAAGTGTCTGTGACTTTACTTGAGCAATACAACCAAGCAGACACAACCCTGCTGGGGAAGGATTCTTCAGTGTGCCCTTGCTAGGACGACCCTTTGGTGTATGTGAAGCGCACGTCCCCACACCCAGCAACCTGATACAGGTTTGAAACTGTCTCAGTGCACCTCCAGGTAGTCAAACAGAACAATTATTCTTTCACTAGGTCTATTTGTGCACAAATACAGTTATGAGATGAGCTGTGTCAGGTGTCTCTGTAATGGGCTGTCATCCAATCCCTCCTACTTCTAATCCTTTCTACTTGTGCTCATCTTTGACCACACTGACAAGCAGGTGCTCTACTGGGCACCAGCACCAGTCAAACTCTCATTCCACGCTGCCTGTCAAGTTGTGCTCCATGGCAGCACAGAGCTGCACAGTCAGGTGGCAGCTGCAACAAAGCTACAGCCTTGATGGGCTTAATTACATTAATCAAGCATTGGGCTTTTATATCTCCTACCAGTAGCCCCAGGGGTATCATTTGACACAGCACAGTGTTGTTACCACAGCCCAGTGAGAGGAGAAAAACACACTGCAAGACAAGAGGCTGCTGTTTCTCACCATGGTGCAGGTTTACTGTTGGTCCAGTGAAGGAATCGACTTCCCAAGCAGGTGAGTGTTTTCACCCTGGTTTTGCACCATGCCACACTCTGAAATAGAGGAAGGAAACAGAGAGTCAGCTCATATAATAGAGTAACCCTTTACCTTTATGTATTTAATGCTGAGCCTCAGACTTAACTTTCCACAGAAGAAAGATCAATTTCAGACAGGGATAACTTGTATCATCACTAGCTCAGCTTCCAGAACAGTTAAAACCTGGACCACACAGGGCCATCGCAAGACCTCAAGCCTGTTCTTCGCTCTGGGTTAGTCTCCCTCCCGGCCAAGTGCAATGG